TCAAGGACAGCCTGCATTACAAAGCGAGATTGTGTCTCAAGAAAAAAAAAAAAGTGAATATGCTTCAAATAGGGAGAGATTGTCCAAAACATACAGAGTTTTGGTTAGAATGGATAAATTCTGGAGATCTGTTATATGGCATTATAATTGTAGTCAGTAATGTATTTTATACTTGAAAACTGAAATAGGAGCTTTTAAGTGTTATCATTATAAAAGTATGTGAGGTGATGGATGTTAGATTGATTTAATTATTCCAAAGTATACATCAGTCAGTATAGAGTATTATATTTTTTTAAAGCGAGGGCCTGGGGACTTAGCTCAGTGGTACCAAGCCTGCTTGGCAAGTGCAAGGTCCTGAGTTCAATTTCTAATATCAAAAATTAAATAAATAAATATAGAGTATTATATTTTAAAAGTATAGGTCTATCAAAACATCACATTGTATATGTAAATGTGTATAACTTTTGTCTATTGTATCCTAATAAAAGTGGAAGGAAAACCATATACAGTACTTGGAGATTTAAAAGAATATTGCATTCCATAAATAGACTATTAAAAGATACGATCAAAAAACCAAAAATATTTCATTTACTTAAAGAATGCCAAAATTTCCTAAACATGATACAAAATTCAGAAGTTATAAAAGGTTTGTTTTTTGTTTGTTTGTTTGGGGTTTTTTTGTTTTTTTGTTTTGTTTTGTTTTTTGTTTTTTGAGACAGGGTCTCACTATGTAGTTGAGACTGAATTGGAACTCACTGTGTAGCCCAGGCTGGTCTCAAACTCACAGCAATCCTTCTGCCTCAGCCTCCCAAGTACTGGGATTACAGGTATGCGCCACCACGCCCAGCCAGAGATTATAAAAGTTTGATAAATTCGCCTACCGGGCCAGGGATTTAGCTCAGTGGTGCCACCACCTGCCTTGTAAGCACATGGACCTGAGTTTGATCCCCGTAACCTAAAATAAATTAATTAATAAATTAACTAATTTGATCCCCAGTAAGTAAATAAGTAAATAAATAAATAAATAAATTTGCCTACCTAAAAAAGAAAGTCCTCATAACAAGAATCACCATGAAATTGAGGGAAAGTATTTGCAGCTCATGTTATAAGAGGCTCATTTCTCTAAAATATAAAATACTCCCTCAAAATAATAAAATAAAGACCAACCACCTAAAAGATAATGAGCAAAGAGTCTTGAGTAGCATGCACATATGCATGCCTCCCCTCTATGGGAGTTGAACCCAGGTCCTTCACACAGAGCTACATCCTCAGCCCTTTGTACTTTTCTTTTTGAGATAGGATCTTATTAAGTTCCCAGGCTCAGCTCAAACTTGTAGACCTCCTGCCTCAACCTCCCAGAGTGCTGGAATTACAGCTGTGTGTCACCAAGCCAGCTAGTTTTTGTGTGTACTAGTCACGTATTCAAGAGTTGTCATGTAGGCATGTAGTGGTGCGTGCTTGTAATCCCAGCCCTCTAGGAGACTGAGGTAGGAGGATCACAAATTTGAGCCCATCCTGGGCAGTTTAGCAACTTGGTGAAACTGTCAAAACTAAAAAATAAGAGAAGCACTGGGGATGCAGCTCAGTGTGAAGGCCTTGGATTTAATCCCTGATGCTGTAAAAAAAAATTAAGAATTAACAAAGGATGAGGATGTGGGGAAATAGCTATTCTTATATACAAATGAGTAAATTATCCACAAAGTCTTTTGACAGTATATTGATATTATCTGAGAAGGCAGCTTGCTCATGTTGATAACCTAGAAGTTCTAGAGTATCACTCTGTTTTTATTCTGAGACAGGGTTGCCCAGGCTGGGCCCAAATTTGTGATACTCTTGCCTCAGCCTCCCAGAGTTCTGGGATTATAGGTATTTGCCACCACACCCAACCTAGGTTTTTTGTTGTTTTGCTTTTTGTTTTTTATGATCATTAGTGAAATCATTCTGTTTTTTAACATCTTAGCCAACTCCCAACTCTACATGTTGAAGTATATATATAAACACTTCACATGTCTTAAAGAATTTATAAAAATGTTGAGCACTCAGATGAGGGTAGATATTTTCATTACTCTCACGAGAATTCTTTTTTTTTTTTTTAATTTTTTTTTTAATTTTTTTTTATTTTTATTGAGTTTATTGGTACATTTAGGGATACAGTACAGTTACATTCATTGTTGGGATCATGTACCTTTACATGGCAAGTCTTGATTCTCATTTCTCACGAGAATTCTTTGCAAAGTGATCCTGAGTCTTTAATCTCAATAGTGATTGGTTCTGAGTCTAAAAAGAGACTTGCGCCGGGCGTGGTGGCACACTCCTGTAATTCCAGCACTTGGGAGGCTGACTCAGGAGGATCGCTGTGAGTTCAAGACCAGCCTGGGCTACATAGTGAGTTCCAGGTCAGTCTCAACTACATAGTGAGACCCTGTCTCAAAAAACCAAAAATAAATAAATAAAGAGAGACTTGGTCAGATACTCATTATGCCTCTATTTGTACTGGGTGTTATAAAAATGCCATGAATGTTTATATTTTTACTACAGCAAAAGACACATTGCTGTTAACCTCCCTCAAAATCCTCCTCCTTGCTTTGAACTCACTTATCCTGTTGTTCTTGCCACTTTCTGAGGCAGTTCTAAAGGTTCTGCTTCATGAGTGTCTTTAATTTTACTATCCTGGCTGCCTTAATGTCTTCAATCAGCACAAAACTTTTACCTTTCGTTGTCATTATGAGCCAGAAATCACATGGTGCCAGACCCAGTAAATAACAAAGGTGCAGACACACTATAATGTGTTTACAAGTCTGCCTTTCATTAAGGCAAGAGACAGCAGCATTCACCTTAAGTTTGATCATGTTTTGGAAAAACACAAAGGAGGACTTTTAGACTTGCTCAAAAATTGGCAAACATGAGTGGGATAAGTATGTTCAAAGTGATGGGGAGGAATTTGAAGAGGATTAATGGCAATGTGTCTTACTGTAAATTTTTAAAAATTTAAGCATTCACTGTATGTTTTGGTCACACTTGCATGTCCTTATTACATAGTTCCCAACAAGGAAATGTCCTATTTATCTTTTTATTCTGATAGCCTACAAATCTGGATAGTCTGGTGGCCTTATCCCCATAAAAGCTGAGGCTCAGAAGGGGTGTCACCCAAGAAGTCCCAGTAGTAAACTAAAAGTAGAATGTCTGGGATGTGACTACAGACCCAGGTAGAAGCACGCTTTCCTTCTCTCCCTGTGGCATTCCATCTCCTCCCCTTTCCCTGCTTCCGACCCATGGTGGCAGAAGAATTATGACCAATGCAGACTGCCTTTAGCTTCTGAAAGGAGCTTACTGACTGTGGAACAGAACCTCCTATGTAAAATCATGATAGAAACAATAGCACACTTAGGTGATCGTAAACATTCAGTGACATCCTATGCGACACTTAGGATAGTACCTAGCATATTAGCCATCTTGTTCACTCAGTTTAGTGGTTGCTATCAGATCATCGGTACATTAATTAATAGTATGTGCTGTTATAAAGACATTTCCGTTTTTTGGTAAAATGACATGGCTGAAGTTTCTCATCTCTAAGTTTCTCAACTCAAAAAATCTATAATTCTGTAACGGGGCTCATAAGAATTTCTCTCCTGTATAGTTTAGGAATGTTTTATTCCTTAATTATACTTTTTTTTTTTTGGTACTGGGGATCAAACTTGGGACTTTGTGCTTGCAAGGCAGGCAACCGCACCACGGAGCTAAATCCCCGGCCCCATAATTGTAATTCTTAAAGAGGTTTTTTTAAATTTTTCAATTGGCAAAAGTAGTTTTACATATTTACATAGTACAGTGTGACTTTCCAGTCGTTTATATTGTATATTGATCATATCAGAGTAATTAACATAGGAGTAATGTTGCTTTCTCAGTACAAGATGATACTCTTTAGAAGTCCTCTAGGGGGGAAATTACTTGAATATGCCTTGATTGGAGAGGTTTCATTGGCAATATTTGTAGCTGGAGTGGAATAATGAGTATTAATTATAAAGAAGGGAAAGGAAATGTCATCAAAACCCATGCACATGTGCTTGTAGGAAGCAAATACAGAAGAGTAATAACAAAAACATACAGTTAATATTTCTTGAACGTTTTCTTTATGGAAGGTAGTATGTTATCTTACTTCATCTTTGCAGTAGCCCCATTAAGTAGATATGTTTTGCAGATAAAGAAACTGAAGCACGGCAATTAAGGAACTTGCTTAAATGTTACAAAACTAGTATTTGATAGAGTAGGAATTGGAATATATATAATCTGATTTTGGCACTCATACTTTTAACCATCATGCTTCATTGGGTTGGTTCCAGGTAAAAAAATCAATTGAGTTTAACTAGAATGTGTCAAAGGAATGCATGCAATTTTTAGACAACTTTATATTATGAAAAAAATGACAAACTTAGGAAAAGGTGCAGGACTAAGAAAAGGCTTAATATATACAGATTTATCAATTAATATTTTGCTTAATTTACTTTCTCTATATAAACTCCTTTTTTAAAAAAGTAAATGCTGGGTCGTGGATTTAGCTCAGTGGTTCCACCACCTGCCTCACAAGCGTGAAGGTCCTAAGTTCACTCCCTGGTAGCAGAAACAAAACAAACAAAAAATAAATGCTGGGCCAGGCATTTAGCTCAGTGGCACCTCACCTGCCTTGCAAGCACAGGTCCTGAGTTCAATCCCCAGTAGCAAAAAAAAAAAAGTGAATGCCAGGCATCATGACACTTGGAAGAATAATCCGTAACAGCATTGTCACATTCAAAATGACAGCATTAGTGCCGGGGATTTAGCTCAGTGGTTCCACTGCCTGCCTGGCAAGTGAGGACCCGAGTTCAATCCCCAGTACCCCCCAAAAAAAAAGACAGCATTAGTATAGACAAGTGAATGACCGTCAGCTTGTTTTAGATACATCGTATCTCTTAGACCACTGAAATTACATTGTAAACACAAAACTTGATTTTTTTTCTTCTCAGAAATCATATTCCATGCCCATTGGCATTGAATTTCAGCGGAGATATGCAACAATTGTTCTAGAGCTTGAACAACTGAATAAGGACCTAAACAAAGTTTTGCATAAAGTTCAACAGTACTGTTACGAGGTAGGTGATTTGTTTGAATTTCCCTATATCTCTTTTTTAGAGACAGGGCCTGGCTATGTAGCTCAGGTTGGTCTTGAACTCACTGTGTAGCCCTGTCTGGCCTCAAACTAGCAACAATTGTCCTGCCTCACCTCCTGAGTGCTGGGATTACAGGCATGTGCCACTATGCCTTTTTATTTGAAGCTTCATACTTCACATTTTAGAAAATCCAAACTAATCCAGTATCTTTATAAGATCCTTTGCATAACTGCAAATTCTCCCTTCATTGGTGTTGAAGAGCACCTTATCCACAGTAAGGTACCAATTTGTAATTACCAAATTACAAATGGTATATCTCTCCAAAGACATGTTTAAAAATCTAGAAGGATAATTACTCTTATTTCAGTACTCCAATGACAGTGTTTTGCTGGGTTTTTTTATCTTTACATGCTTTTTCTCAGAAAATGATGATCATACTATGTATACAATTTTCTTTCCTCCTCCCTTAAACTTTGCATTAGAACTATGAATTCTTGAATTTCAGATACATAGATCACAGTGATTTGTGATTTATCATTTACATATGATTATATTCTTTGGGGGATTGTTTTGTTTGGGGGGTGTTTTTTGTTTGCTTTTGGTACTGGGGATTGAACTTAGGACCTTGTACTTACAAGACAGACTGCAGAAACACTAAGCTAAATTCCCGGGCTTATAGTCTTTTTTTTTTTTTTTTTTTTTTGAGACAGGTCTTGCTGTGTAGCATAGGCTGGCCTTGAACTCACCATACAGCCAAGGCTGGTCTCGCAATCAATCTTCTTATTTGTTGCAAGCTACTTGTGATTATATTTCTAATAGTGGTTCAACACATTTCACCTAAATTTGGGGTGTTTTAATTTTCCCAAAGGATTTGGCAATAATTTTTCTATTTTCAGTTCTCTAATGTACATACAGATTTGCTTACAGTAAAGCTAGTTTTTTCTAAAGAAAACACATGAATTGAACACAAACTATAAGATTAAATCCAGCAATCCAGAACAATGAAGGGTAAAAGATACTGAATAGGTGCCTTTGTCAGAAAACTGACCACCCAAGGTGACCACCTGGAGTCCTGATCCTGGAAAAGCAGCAACTGCTTAGTGCACGACTCACAGTGGAATTTCTAATTGTACCTTAGTTTTGGTTTTTTTGGGTTTTGGGGTGATTTTTTTTTTTTTTTTTTTTTTTACAGGGTCTCCCTTTGTAGTTTAGGCTGGCCCTGAAATCGCTACATAGCACAGGCTGGACTCAAACACGCAGCGATCCTCCTTCCTCAGCGTCCTGAGTGTTGGGATTACAGGCATGTACCACCACACCTGGCACCTTAGTTTTTCTTTATTACTTTACGAACAATTTATATAGTTAACTGGTCTTTATAGACAATCTGCAGCCATCTAAATTAAATATATTCTACAGTAGTATAATTAATTATAAGGCCACAATGTTTCTTTTGGGCAAATCTCTTTTGTATGTGCGTGTGTGGTACGTACTCGGGCCCTTGTGCTTGCAAGGCAGGCAGTAGAACCACTGAGCCAAATCCCCGGCCCTGGGCAAATCTCTTAATATAGTGATTTTAATATGAATGCTATTCATTCTTTGAAATATAAAGTGTTTTATCTAAATTAAGGTTACACATTTTTAAATACTACATACATCATGACCAGTATATTAAAATTATACTATTTATATCTAATATCCAAAGAAAAATGGAAAGGGTAGGGGAATGGTAATAAGGGAAAAGAAAAAAAAAACATGAGAAAACGAAAAAATGGAAATAAAGTATTTGTAAATAGGGAAAGGAGGAGGGGGTGAAGGGAGGGCAGGGATAAGGGGAAAAAAATGAGAACCAAGACCTGTCATGTAAAGATACAAGATCCCAATGATGAATGTAACTGTACTCTATACCTAAAATGTACCAAAAAACTCAATGAGGGGGAAAAAAATCCAAAGAAAATTTAGTACCAGTTCTAGCTACTAAAGTTCTTTCCGCAGCTGTTAGTCTGCTAGGCTTATTAATTGATCCCATAGATATAATTATAAATCGTCATGATTTGGGTGTCTGTTCTTTCACTTTAGTAATCAGGAACACAGCATATATGGAACAAGTAAATCAGTGGTGCAGCCACCCAGGGATGGTGGTAGCTCTTCAGGTTAGCAATCAGAAGCTCAGATACAAATTCCCACACCATGTGAGCAGAGTTGGATCCAATTCCTCATCAAAAAATACTGGTGGAGAGCTGGGGATTTGGCTCAGTGGTTCCACAGCCTGCCTTGCAAGTGCAAGGGCCCAAGTTTGATCCCTAGTTCCACAAAAACAAAATAAAACAAAAAGTACTGGCAGAGGTTGTCAGAGGACTTCCAATGCAGATCCCAATCCAGTGCCTAGTAAATGAGACAGCATCAGAGATAAAAGAAAAACTCCTAGAAATTCTGCTGAGAAAATGACCCCTTTTTTCCTAATGCTTGTGTTTCCATGCTAAGAGTAGCTTTGTGCTTTGGGTGTTTAAAGAGGAATTGCTTAGGGAGCATATTCCCTAGCCAAATTGAGCAGTCTCATATCCAATCTGAGTTTTCTTCAAGATGCTTTCAACTTCTTTCCTTCTCTCAATGTAATCCTCCTTGGACTGAGAGCTTTTTTCTCCAATGCTCTCTGTATCTGTTTCAGAATCTTTGTGAGTATCTTGTGGCATCTATGAGTGAGGTGGGCTGTCACAGTGAAAACGCTTCATTTGCTCTGTCTAGATGCATACTGGGCATCTAGCAGTATATTTTCCATGTCACCGTTGTAAATAGAAACAGGCTGGAACATTGCTTCCATTCCCATTATTGCTGACGTGCAGTTCTACCCAGGAGTCCCTCAGATTCTCCTCCTGCCGCCTGGAGACTTCACTCTGTGCTGTGGCACCAGAGCCTACTTGACCGCGAAGGTCCACGCCCAGCTGCACAGCATTTTGGTGGTGGCCACACAAGAACAGGCACACCACGGGCTTGCAGTTCTGCTAAAATTTGGGTTTTGTACTACAAAATAAGAATTAAATTGTTGAGATGAGTTCAGAATGTTCCTGCCTTTGCATTCTTTGAGATTGTGTGTTTGCAGTAAAGCTACCTCTATTTGTAATAGAAGATTCTTAAACAGTTGGTGTTTTGGTCTGATAACCTCATAAGTCCCCAAATCTGCTGTCGTACTGTTATCTGTCCACTTGGAACTGCACGAATGAGCCGTGGTCACCTGTGACTGAACGCCGAGCACAGTTCATTCATTCCTTTAGCCAGCCATTATCATTTATTTTTACTCTCCTGATAGTTGTCCCTCACCTACATAAACATCCTGTGCCTTCTAATCTGGAAGGCACGAAGAACTCAGTATCACATTTTTTTGTTTCTTTTTTTGTTTGTTTGGTTTTTGTTTTTGGTACCGGAGATGGAACTCAGGTCTTTGCTCTTGCAAGGCAGGTGGCGGAACCACTGAGCTAAATCCCTGGCCCCAGTATCACATTATTTTGTTACTCCTAAGAATACATAAATTCAGTCTAATTATGAGAAAACAGACAAACCCACATGAGGGATATTCTACCAAATAATTGGCTGGTATACTTCAATTCAGAATTAGTGAATCTGAGTAAAGGGTCTTTGTTCTTATTGTAATTTTAGACATCTGCAATTAAATCAGAATTAAGTCATTAAAAACAAATCTTACAAGACAGTATGATTTTAGTTGTAAGTGCTAGTTTTGTAAGACTTCAAATCTGAAACGGGGCACAGATACTCATAAGCAGTCACAGCCTGATTAACATACCTCTCCCACTTTCCTCCTGTGCCCAGCTTGCTCCAGATCAAGGGCTGCAGCCCGCAGATCAGCCCACAGACCTGCGCCGGCGCTGTGAGGAGGAGGCACAGGAGATCGTCCGGCTCGCCAACTCCTCAGCCGGACAGCCCTGTGTCGAAAACGAAAACCTCACAGACTTAATCTCCAGGCTTACAGCTATCTTACTACAAATTAAGGTAAATGACAGAAGAAACAGTTTCTTAATTTCACTACTAAGCAAACTATGCTGATTTGTTGCTAAAGGAGTCATAATTCATATATCAAGTATTTTATGTTGTATTTTAACTATATACCTCATTTAAAGTTTGAAATTCTTTTCCCTTTAGTGTCTTGCAGAGGGAGGAGACCTGAATTCCTTTGAGTTCAAATCACTTACAGACTCATTAAATGATATCAAGAGTACAATAGATGCTTCTAATATCAGGTAATTCACTAGGTGTGCTGTAATCATTTTTATATTAAGTTCATAGTGATTTTCAGTAGTTTTAAGAATTTTACGTGTTTCTGAAATATTCATATCTTTTTATCCTTTAAATATATTAAGTGCTTTTCAGTTATACCTTTCCATTGACAGGATTGAAATTTCACATGGATCTTCTCTGTAAAGGAATTGGGAGACACACAGTGTCTAGTTCCTTAATGTGGAAGTTAAAATTAGAAGTAACATGTCCCCGGGCACAGAGAGGTTCATCCTGTCTTTTCAGTATCCATGACTCTTTTGCTTCTTTTATGAGTACAGTACTTTTTCAAAACCACTGAAGTAGAATTATGTAATGCATAAGAGGAAATTCATTTCTTTCCTGACATTGTTCTTAAGTATTTCCAAGCAAAAATCGGCTCTTTCTTAAAAAATTGGTCTTCTTAATTTTCTAAAATAAAATAGCTAACATGATTCTTTTTTTAGTTGCTTTCAGAATAATGTAGAAATCCATGTTGCACACATTCAGAGTGGCTTGAGCCAGATGGGAAATTTACATGCCTTCGCAGCGAATAACACCAACAGAGACTGAGCACAGACTGAACTATACCAACTGCATGGAACACTGGTTTGGAGAAGTTCTTTTCCTTTGTATAGGCTCCCAACACCAAATAACCTAACTGATGAAAAATAAGGAAAATTTAAATCTCTAAGGCATATTAATATACTGTACTGCTTCTTAAACCAGCATTGCTGACCAGCGTATATTTATTTTTCTTCTGTTACACATATGCAGTAGGATTGCTTATCTTCATATGTTTATGAGCAAGTATTTTTAAACTGAAATTGTCTATAATATAATTACACGAAGATTTTTTTTTTTTTTTAATGTGCATGAATTCAACCCAATACATGGAGAGAACTGCTGCAGCAGAACATGAAGAAACATGGCCTCTTACGCATAGTGGTGAATGTGGAAATTCCTCCTGGAGAAGGACCACTCTGGTGGATTAGCTAATCACCACCTCAGTCTTTGGGAGATAAAGTCAGGTGGCGCGGGAGCTCTAGTCTAAGGAAGCCACTGGAATGTGAGTGGAAATATGGACTTTAGAAGTACATGTGGTGTATACTTACAACAGGACATGGTTCTGTAGATCTTTTTATAATAATAAATATTTTAATTTATCATAATTTATAAGAGAATCAATTGTTTGTCTGTTGAACGAAAATGAAGGAGGAGGAAAAACCATTACTACATAGTGCTGAGCTCCTGCGGGTGGACTTGGCATGTCTCTCCCATCAGTTCAGGGCAAAAAGTGCTGTTGTTATGAGATTTATTTTAAAAAAGACTGATAACACACTATTTTCATATTTTTTATTTGCACAAGTTAAACCAGAGCACTGGTTAAAATCCAACAATACACAATTTATAAAATAAAAAACTTTTATAAGAAAAACAAAATGTTGTGAATTGCAGAAAAAGATTTGTTTTTGGTTTTTTGGGTTTTGTTTGTTTTTTAAGGAAAACCTGCCTAAAATATTAATCTTGTAAAAAGTATGTATTTTGAATTTTCTTTGTTTTAATAGAGATATTATAAAGTCAAAATATAATAAATTGTTTTCAAATTTGGAGTTTAAGATATAGCTGTAGATGTGGTTTTGATTCTTTTAGATGTCTCATAAAATGAGACTTTTTATATGTTAATGTATAATAAAACTGAAATAAGATTATTTTCCAAATTTGAAATTTTTGTATAGTTTAAAAATGCTTTGGTATTCTTTGTTGGTATTGTGCCACTGCAAAACTTTAGTGCAGAGCTTATATTTAGCTAAACTTTTATGTTAATAAGAAATGCATAAATCTTTTATTCTTAATATTTGTAATTCTAAATAAATTGGTCTATGAAAATTAACATTATGTACATTTTTGTTTAATTACACAAGTGATAGGTATTCCTTTTATTGAAAAAGTTTTGAAGAACTGTAATTTCCATCAAGTTTTTAGGGGAAACAATGCAGATTAATTACTGAGTCTTTTTTTTCTCCTTTGAGATGGAGTCTTGCTCTGTTACTTAGGCTGTTCTCATACACCAAGGCTCCAGTGATCCTCCTGCCTCAACCTCTCAAGTAGCTGGGACCCCTTTTACACACTTCTTTGCCTAACTCTACCAGGTCACTTTGATGTATATAATCATCAAGTGTTAATTAGAGAGAAGTTTTTCCATCGGGTAGTAAATCACTGTGCACTAATCAAGTAAATGACCTGGCCTACTATACTGGACCTGGTCAAAGATTGAATTTTTTTTCCGGTATCAGGGATCAAACTCAGGACCTTGTACTTGTGGGGCAGGCATACTGGCAGCAAGCTAAATCCTCTGCCCAAAAGATTGACTTTGATTTTTGCCTGCTTTACAAGCACAAGGTCCTGGGTTCAATCCCTGGTACAAAAAAAAAAAAGGTTGATTTTAATATATTCTTCCTAGAATTGGTGTAACTGTTTTTTTCCATTTTTCTTTTATAGTTCTTGAGGCTTGCTTTTCACAGTACTTACTCTTACACACATTTAATTAAGCACTATTTGTCTAGAAGTTTGTTTTTATTTTGTGAGTCAGGGTCTCACTATGTAGTTCCATCTGGCCTTGAACTCACTGGGTAGCCCAGACTAGGCTCACTCATGGCGATCCTGCCTCAGCCTCCCAAGTGCTGGAATTATGGGTGTGCGCCACCACACCAAGCTACAGAAGAAATTGTGCATAAGAATATACTTTAATGCTGTTTTTGTTGAAAGAAATTCAAAGCAGTCCTCTTAAGTCAGCTGTGCATTTATCCGAGCACTGCTGTTGCTGCTGTACACATCTTTGGAGCTCTAGATAAAGCCTGCCTGAGCACATGAGCAGTCACACGCAGTGTTAACTTACATAGGTAAGGTTCTGAGTCACAGTAAGCCAGTTCCAATAGCCATGCTCACCTGTTGCCATTTTCTTTCTTTTTTTGGTGTCGGGGATCAAACTCCGGTCCTTGTGCTTGCAAGGCAACAGCAGAACCACTAAGCTAAATCCCTGGCTCACCTGTTGCCATTGAAAATCTACAAACAGATCTGCCTACTAGTAAGTTTTCCCTCGAGAATCCATTCCTCTTTGTCCTCATTACCACTGTGCCCACTGCTTACAGCATCATTTCACTACTGGTGCCTCCTAGCTTTTCTCTCCTAGCTACTCACCCTCTTTAGAGGAAGCCAATGCCATATTCCTAAAATGCAGGCTTGGTCATTGTATACCTTGTGTGAACATCTCTGTCTATAAAGGTCTGTGGCTCTCAGTACAAATCCAGAGCTCTCGACAAGCCCTACAAAGCCATGCATGGCCCAGCCTCCATTCTGCTCCTGCTCCTGCTCCCCAGGGCCTCTGCTCACACTGTTCCCAATTCTTAGTGACTCCTGGACCTCCTCCACGCTGTCCAGATCACATTTGCAGCTTTTCATTTCTTGGAGTGATCTTTAGTCTTCACATTGGGCTCTGTGCTCCATGAAAGAAGAACCTGTCTCTGGTATTATTGTCATTTGATTTGTTTTTGTGGTACTGAGGATTAAACCCAAAACCAAGACCTTCACTGAACTATATCTGCAGCGCATTTTTATTTCTTATTTTGAGACAGAGTCTTGCTGAATTGCCCAGGCTAGGCTTGAGCTTAGAATCCTCCTTATCGTCCCAGAGTGATGCCACAACAGACAAGTGCCACCACAGCCAGCACTGTTTCCAGTTTTGCTCATCCTTTTATTCCCAGGTCCTGATACAGTGCCATTTCATAGGCACCCAGTGAATAGCCACACAATGAATGAACAAGTAACTGTGAAAAGAGCTGGAAGAAACATTTTCATCAGAACAGCAGTCTGCTCCTCCATGATTGAAAGATGAGACAATATACTCTTGAGTGTAAAAATTATTATTTAGGGCTTGCTTTTAAAGCAACATTCCCATTCTTATTACTGACTGTAAAGGAAGTCCCTTATAGGAAGGCTTTCATTATGTGATGGTGGTTATTCTAGTCTGAGTCCTGGCCCTCTGTATTTACACACTCTGATTATGAGCTACTACTTACAGAATGAATTTGTTTTGGAGCCAGGTGTGGTGGCTCACTCCTATAATCCTAGCACTCGGGAGGCTGAGGCAGGCTACATAGTGAGTTCCAGGTCAGTCTCAACTACGTAGTGAGACTCTCAAAAAAGCAAAACAAAAAAAAAAGAATTGTGTTTTGTACCAGGGTTTGAACTCAGGACCTTGTACTTGTCAGAAATGTATGGCCCTGCTGAGCCTACATCTCTGGCCCCGGAATGAGTTTCTTGATCTTTAAAATAAGAGGCGGAGCAGGCTGTGCCGTGCCTTCCTGTTGTGCTGCCACAAAGCAGTGAGGTTCCCGAGGGCCAGAGGTCTCACCCTGCACCCTCTGGCCACCCCTTAGGGCCACCAAACCCAGCTCCATCTCCAAGAGATGGCGCAGACCAGCTAGGGTGGATTTGCAGCTGCTGTGCATTTTGTGCTCTTCCCAGAAAGTTTGCCACCTTCCCACAGGCCTGTCTATCTCTGTCCCTAAATTGGACTCCTGGCAGGCAGCCCCCACTGAGCAGTCCTCTACAAGTGGGAAACATACATTCTATGAAGGGAGGCTGGACTGTTTTCAACTTAGGATTGCGGTTGCATTGTTTCCTGTAGCTGCTCCTCCTAGACCAGGCTGGGTTGCCAGTAGATTATGCCCCTGTCCTGACAGCCCTCTTTGAAGGGCTGCTGGATCCCTGTCCCCTTCCGTGTGCTCAGAGCTTGGAAAACAGATGCAGTTGTGCAGGAAATCCTCAGGATTGCTTCTTGGGGAAATAATATTAAAACATGGATGTTTCATCTGTGATATTGGTGGGTACATTTAACTAGTGCATGTCATGGAATCAGTTCAAAACATTGGAGTAGCAATAGTAACACTCTAGAAACAGCATCTCCCAGGGATGACAAGAGAGTTATTTCAACTTGCAAATGTAAGCCTGTTCCACTTTTGGAATTTGCTCTAGGGCGAAAGCAGGTACGTATCAATGTAAATTCCACATCTAAGCTGGGCATGGTGGTGCACACCTGTAATCCCAGCACTCGGGAGGCTGAGGCAAGAAGATTGCTGTGAGTTCGAGACCAGCCTGGGCTACGCAGTGAATTCCAGCTCAGTCTCAACTACATAGTGAGACCCTGTCTCAGAAAACCAAATAAATAAATACAATAAATTCCACATCTATGTGGATTTGGGATTTTAAATCAAGGATCATAATGATAAAACAATTTGTGTAACCTATGTTTCTGGATCTCAGCGGTGACACCATTTTACACAGTATAACCACTAATATGTCTAGAGGCCCTTTTGGCTGTGTGCAACAGTTTAAGCTAGATGTCTCCCCAAAGCCTCCTGTCTCAGAGGCAGGGCTTTTGTAAGGTGATTGAACTATGGGTGCTATAGCTGACTAGCTATTAGGAGGTGGGGTTTGGTAGGAATGGGAGGGTCAATGGAGGCATCGCTGTCATCCTTGGCTCCTCCCTCCATTCTGCTCCTGACCACCACAAGGAGAGCCATTTTCCTCCAGACCCCGCTGCCGTGCTGCTTCTGCCTGGAGCTGACCAGGCATACAAGGACGGGACTTCTCAAACATGAACAAAAGAAATCTCTCCCACTTTCAGCTGTGTCGGGTAGTTTGTCCTAGTGTTGAGAAAGTGACTAAGACACCATGGTAGTAACTACCCTTTTGACAGTTGAAGGACTCCTTAAGAAATCACCACTGAGCAGTGTTTGAGATAACAGAATATGACTGGGATCTGAACAATGGGCGTTTATACTAAACATAAAGCTCTAGCTTCAGGCATCTTTTTCCTGTCAATGAACTGCTATTTTTAACCATAGGCTTGGACAGAAGCATCATCTTCTATGACACTTCTCTAATGACAGAAGATTTCATGCTTGATGGCACCTCAGCTATCAGATCTCCCTGTGGAAAAAGATAGCTGTATGATTTAAGGATGTTGGAACTATCTGTTAAAACCATCAGTGCAGTGAAGACCATTCCAGAGCTCTGCTGTTTTTTGTTTGTTTCTTTTTTCAAGACAGGGTCACATGAAGTTCATTGTGCCCTTGAACTCACTGTGTAGCCCAGGCTGGCCTCGAACTCATAACAATCCTCCTTCCTCGGCCTCCCGGCTGCTGCGACTCCTGGCGTGCACCGCCATGCCCAGGTCATCCGCTGTTACTCATTCGAGCATGACAAGCAAAGCTCTGAACACTGGAACTGTGAGAGGAGCTGCCCTCACTTCCACTGCCACAGTCCAGGCAGCCTGTGACACAGCTGTAGGGAAAGCAACAGTTCCCATTTCTGGACAGAGCAAGTTTGCCTCAAAGCATAAACACAGATATTTTATCTAAAGAAAAAAGGCTGGAAA